TGGCTTATATTTACACCAAATGAAACTCGTAATTATAGGCTGAAAAGTTTTATCAGTGTACCAATTTTGAAAAAATCCATAAAAGTTGAGTATGTTTTTCTATCAAACAATGTGCCCCTACATCGCCAGATTGAGGTTCGGGTTCGCCATTTACTCGTCCTGCAGGGGCATCGCCAGATTGGGGTTCGGTTGACCATTTACTCGTTCTGCAGGGGCATCGCCAGATTGAGGTTCGGGTTGACCATTTACTCGTCCTGCAGGGGCATCGCCAGATTGAGGTTCGGGTTGACCATTTACTCGTCCTGCAGGGGCATCGCCAGATTGGGGTTCGGGTTGACCATTTACTCGTCCTGCAGGGGCATCGCCAGATTGGGGTCGGGTTGACCATTTACTCATCCAGCAGGGGCATCGCCAGAATGGGGTTCAGATGAACCATTTACTCGTCCTGCAGGGGCATCGCGTGAACCAATAACTCATCTAGCAGGGGCATTGCCAGAATGGGATTCAGGTGGACCATTTACTCGTCCTGAAGAGGCATCGCCAGAATGGGGTTCAAGTAGACCATTTACACGTCCTGAAGGGGCATCACCAGATTGGGGTTCAGGTGGACCACAAATACAAATTTCACAAGCAGCCATATCTACTAGCAGATTACCAGTGAAACCAATATTCTTAGCGCACCAATAACTTATTGAATGGTTCCCGGTACAACGTGAGTGGTTAAGAATTATACGAACTTGATGGCTAGAAACCACGTTTAAGAAAATAAAGTTTGGAGGCGGCTTGAATATGTAAGTACCTGACCATGACAAAAACGTGTCGAAACGTTGCACATTTGTAATAAAGTTTCTTTTCTCCAAACTTTACCGTACAATTCTACACCGACTGACCGACCAGCCAAACTCCATACTGTAAAATCATGTACTGGCCAGGACAAATCCTTTGTATTTTCATGTACGATGGTACAAACACAACTTGTTTATAAAGTGAAATGCCCTTGTACGTAGGTAAAGTATTAAAAATATTTCCTTTTCGTTGTACACATTCAAGAAAGATTAACCACGAACAGAAACGACCCCTCCACACATACATACATACATAATAAAATCCTGGCCACTCCCATGTTTGGCCATCTGTTAATAACACTGAAATTAACATACACGCTGTTCAAAATAAGAAATGTGTAAAAAAACAACAAAAACCATTGAACTTAAGTAGTTTCAATATCAATAAATTTTAAGTAGTAAGAATAAGATAAAACTAAATTTACCTGTTTCTTCGGACAACAGACCCCAGGACGAAGAAACTCGCCAAAACAAACTGATTGTTGAAGTTTGATAATATCCATGAGGAGATAACTACAATCAGTTATCGTTCCGCAAAATCCACTTTGACCGTTTGGTGTTCTGCAGTCAACTATGGTCAAGACACGTGACTGATAAACACTACTGACAACGTCCACTAAAAAAGTTGTACAATTCCATTAAAATAAACTTGCTGAACCTAATCTATAGCGTAAAACGAAAGACATCATGTGACTAAATTGTACTATAAATACTATTATGCAGCGGTATTTTAAATTATTTAATAGAAATACATAATTTAAAAAATAGGTTTTAATAAACTATAAATATATTTTTGACAATAATATTATTTCTCTTGAGAAGCATGCTTAAATAAAAACGTGCGCCTAACTTAACTAGCTCTGTTAGGTAAACAAACAAGTAACTGAATAAAACATACGTGATAACGCTCAATGAATATTCAATCAGTTCTCATTAAATATATATTTGTGAATTTATTTTCTTTGTTCAAACATGAATTACGGTGAGGAAAAGATGACGTACAGGCCTAATCTATTCCTTGATTTGCTATTTCAACGAACTAACTAAACTGCCCACAGTCGTATTCATAACAAATTTACCAGATCTTACCTCACGCGCCCTCTAGCTAACACCTAAATAAAAACATTGAAATATAGCTTACAACTGTTATATATTATTAAATTATGAAATATTAATAGTAATATATGTGAATATCAGAACCAGTTTAAAATATAGAAAAATTACAGACTATGATTCCACAAACTCAGAAAATAGATATTCCTGGTAAGATTGTTATAAAACTCTTACTGTTTTTTGTTGTGTTTTTTTCAGTTTAGACTAAGCATACTCTTCACGTTATAAGCTACTGTTAGGCCTACAGAAATTTTGAGATAACTGACGTTAAAAGAAGCCGGTAATAAACAATTAATATTCACTGAAAAATATATATAATAATAATGTTTATTGGCAATTTTATGCCAGTTTGTCTTCAGTTATTAGTTGTTATACACGAAGAAGCACCTTTGAGTCATATTCTCATTCAGAGCATTTTCACGAGCATGGGGTAAATAGATGAGAAATGTTATTGGACTAAATTCATGAGAAATTAATAATATTAATATCCGCAAAGTCTAATGTCGAAATGTATGTTGTTGTTTTTCCTTATAAACCTCTGGCTCTTATGTTATTGTTACGTCTCTTGTCGTTGGTTAATTTTCATAGAAATTCTTTCCAAAAAAACTTAGCGATACAAGTCCTTTCTTAAATAAAACTAGTTTATTCTTTCTCCATTCAACTTTGCAATGCACTTAATTTCCACAGTCACTTTAACTTAAACACGCGCTATAATTCACAAC